TCATCAGCATAACTTTCATTATGTCACAATTTCCAGAAGAGCACTCTATTTATTTCTGTAGTATTGAATGTGATATAAACTGAAGGCATCTCACATCAATGAGTAACTAAAACAGTAATATGAACTATAGAATTTAAACATGCTTCAGTCATTCCATCTTCATAGAAAGTCTTTCCTCAGTAGTTCTTAACCCTCACTTAAGGTCAGAATTAGCTGGAGTTTTTGAAAAAAAGTATCTATGTCCAGGTCCTATCTACCATTGTGATAAATAGGTGATAATGGCCAGGCATGGTCATTTTTTGAAGTTTCATGGGTAATTTAAATGTGAGAGAACTACTCACCTACCTCTTTTCATCTCTCCCACATTACAGCTTGTTTCTCTTTATGTCCACATCTTTTCAAAATTTTAAATTTTACATGTATTAAAACTTGAAAAGACATATATTTTAGGATTCCCTATTTTTAATGTTCATACAGAGATTTCTTTAACTGAAATACCAAATAGTTTCTTTGATGTGAAAGACTATAATAGTACACAGGATCCTAATGAGATAATTAATAATGTGAAATAGGAAGTAAAGGGCTAAAGGTGTAAGGAAAGTGGGAATGGTGGGGGAAAGGTAATAAGGGAGGGGGAAAAATATGAGAAACTGAAAAAATGGAAATAAAGTGTTTGTAAATGGGGAGGGGAGGAGGGGGTGAAGGGAGGGCAGGGACAAGGGGAAAAATGAGAATCAAGACCTATTATGTAAAGGTACAGAATCCCAATGATGAATGCAATTGTATTGTATACCTAGATTGTACCAATAACCTCAATAAAAAGAAAAGAAAAAAATAAATGAAACACAGAGGTATAAATAAAGATGAAAATCCCTTGGAAAAGTTGGTCTCTTTCAATTATATTCAAGGATTTCCATATTCTTCCTGCTTTTGCTGACAAAATTATTCAGAATGGTCTACATTTGCTCAACCATTATACCAGAACACAGTCTAGCGTGGCTGCTGTGTAATTACTGTCATCAAGCTATCTATGTCTGCCTGAAATGTTAAGCCCAATACGCTTTCATCCTTAATGCTTCCCCAGGCTTCAACAGTGTAGTATTTCTGGCAAGTTCCTCCCAGAAGTCCTCTCAGGCTGGTCAGTCCCCTCCCCAGGATACCCTTCTCCCACTTGTCCTGTGCTTCTTACCATCATTTTCTCTTGGGACCAAATACCCACCAAAAACTTCACATACCTCCTATGTATGTCGATGGCTTCCAAACCTATCTCTAAACTCTATCTCTGCAGTACTTGATTTTAACACCATGTAATTTCTGTGCCCTAATCTCCATGTTTCTATCTCCTTTTGCATCTCCAAACTGTTCATTCTTAAGTCACCATCCATACTAGTAACTGAGGAGCTGTCAGTTTCTTCCTCCATTTGCCATCCTATCTCCTGCACTGGCCGTATTTCTTTTCTACACCTCTCAAATATAACCTTTCCTGTATTTAGTGTTATGTATTATTTCTGGCCTTCCTCATTTTCCCCTGATCAATTTTTAGACTGTTAGTCTTGACCTTCAATTCCTCCAAACTGCCAAGTATTTCATAAAATACAGACCCTACTGGTACTTGAGTACCTTCTTATACATAAACATAAAACCCACACTTCTTGATATCGCATATAAATCCATTTACATGATATTTGTAGTACATACACATATGTTGCATTTCTCTAGCCTTGGATCACTCTTCTCTCTCTTGCTCTGATATTCTAGTTGTACTCAACTATTTGCCATTTTTTCTTAGGTCTTTGTTTCAGTGCTAGTTCTCTTCCTTTTCTTTTGGACAATTTGCATTGATCTTTTCAATGTCAATTCAGCAACCACTAATGCAGCACTTTCCTACCCTGGCCCCTTTGTCCCCATTCTAGTGGCCTGTGTCTCTGCCATTACTCTTGGTTTTATCATTCCTTCTGCTTCTGTTGTATAAACTTTTATCCTGGACCCACTCACACTGCACTGCTATTGTGTTGTCACTTTCTACCTTCCCCACTTAGGGGGAGCTCCTCTGGTATTATTCCTGTCTCTGTAATCCCAAAGTTCCACAAGTGTCAGATACATTTTCTCTATTTTTCTGAAGAAAAAAAAAGATTAATTTGATGGACATTCAGAAAATTAAAATCTTTTTCTCACAAATGTAATGACAAGAGGAAAACTGGCATAATAAGAATGTAATGAATTTAGAATCAACTATATGAAGAAAAGAACTTGTGTAAATCATTCAAGTAAAAGTTAAATGTTAGCTTAAGAAACTAAAAAAGGTGGTGGTAGAGGTAGTCTTTGGAGAGGGGGACTTAGTACTAACTTCAAATTCATTCATAAAAAAGGGTTTTGCCTGTTTGCACAACTTTTACCTTTTACTTCAATGTTTCTTAATCTTTTTTGTTAGAGACCTTTTTAAGTACCCTGTTCTTTACAGTCCCTACCTACAAAATGCAAAACAATGTAACAATTATGTCTTCTTTGAGAAGTATCTTCAATCCTTTCCCTAATTCAATGATTTCTCTGAGCATTTCTTGCATTACTCAGTTTCTGCTTGATGACTTTTATATTGACCCTTTTTGTCCTGGAAGTACTGTGTGCTTGTTATTTTGCTTATATGTTCTCTGTACCTTCCCTGTGTGCTTTGTAAAGATAGGAACCAGGTAAGCATTTTATTACCCTTCCCTGCCCTTCTCATCTCAGTCTACCAAATACACACTCAGACACTAACTTGATACTCACCTAAGAATGACTTGGATTCAGGTAGTAACAGCTAACCCGTATTGTGTGCTTAGTACCTACCAAGTAGTACTCAACACTAAACCTCTCTAATTCTCACAATTACCCTATGAGGTAGGTGCTTAACACACAGGTGAGGAAGCTGAAGTACAGAGAAAGTAACAACTTCTATCAACTATCCAAGAAACAATGGCCTAAAGAAAGGAAACCAGTCGGTTTCCTTTCATATTTGTATCTCTACTCATATAATCCTACAGGAGGATATGCAGATGTTTGTATGCACACATGGATACACACGGGAGACACTTTTTATAAAAAATGTATTTTTACAGTTTTCTGTATCTTCTTTCTTTCACAAAACAATACGCTATAGAAATCCCCCTAACTCACGAGTGTACATCTAGTTCGTCCTTTCTAATGGCTGTTTACTCTTCCATAGGATGCACATGTCATACTTTAGCCAGCCACTCCCACACTGTGTTCCCTTTGTTTCCAGTTGCTTGACATTAATAACAATGCTGCATAACACAAAAACATCAGCAAGACTGGAGGTGGATCAGGAAGCAGGCAGGCTATTAAGTTCTGAGGAAACTGCTCTGCATCTGGTATTCCTGAATCCTCTCCTTCCCAGGCATCAGGAAACACTTAGCCCATTCAGCTCTCCCTTCGTCAGAGGTCAGAGAGCGTGATGTTTTGGTGATTCCCAGTACCAAACTGCCTCTCAGAAGCCCAGAGATTTGCAAGTCAAAGGTTTCGGGAAGTGAGGCTCACCATTCTTTCCCAATACTGACACTAGCAGGCCCATACAGAAGTCCTGCCCCAGTTTTCCTCCCAACATCCCCATCAGTGGCTTCATCTGCAGTCAAGGGAAGAGGAGGAAAGATGTTCTCAGGGTCAGTGTTGCCAGAATCTATTCCAAGTTAATCTAATAATTTAATGCGTTGCTATGAAACCTATATAGCACATGGATTCCAAGCAAAGCTATTCTATTGAAAATTTAAAATAGAAATTAAGCCAGTTAATAAAGTTAAAACCAGAGTAGTGAACTGAAAAAAATGGGGTGGAAAACTACTCAGTTCCCTTCTTCTCCCTGCCACGGTGAACTTAAGACAAGACCTTAAGAGATAAAGAGTATTAAACAAACCATGAAGATATTTATATGGAAAATGGCTTTATAACTAACAAAGAATCAAGGACTACTTTCCTACTGGCTTCTACTATTTTTTGTTAGTCATGGATCTTATGATAAATATACTTACATTAAAACATTCCACTCCAAATTATACACCTACTGTGAGAATTTTTTAATTTTCAGTTGTTCCCTTTTGCTTCAGTACAAGTCCTGTCCACTTTTCTATTCAATTTCAGTATATATTTTGTGATTTTTTCAACTTTCTCACCTAGCACAATACTTTACAAAATACTGAGCCACCCTTAAGATAGTGGTATCAGTAATTACTCAAATTGGATAATCAATTTCTTGAAACCCGGGAGAAAAATTAAGTATAAGTTTACTGCATACACAGAATTTAACATTATCAGGTATATTATGCTCAACATTTAACTCATAATATGTACATTTTCCCACAATCAAGAGTGCAGATATGAACTCTGGTGTCAACCACAGAGACCACAGCTCTGCCTTGAGTGATGAGCACACTACAATGCCAACATACTGATCTAAGGGAGCACCACTGCAGCCACTGGCTGAAAGCAGCAGTTACCCCATGAGCTCCCAGGCACTTCTGACCCTAAATGGTTAACAAAACATATGCAACAGTGAAGGGTGTTAAGATGAAAGTTTTATGGCAGCTGTAATGTGCCCTTAAGGAAAGTCATGGAAGCAGGGTAGAGATAAACAGAATATTTAGATTTCTGAAGATTCTTTGACTTCATGAAAAGCACCATAAAGATTATCGCAGCTCTGGACACAGGGTTATTAACTGTTTGGCTGGCAGATGGTAACTTAGTGTTACAGATTTAGAAAATACTGAAAAGTGTCAACATAAACCATCAGAACTATTTCTCCACAGGGCCTCTGCTATGATCATGGCACGTGGGTTGATTATAAGCATCTTCATTTTTAAATGCACATCCTCTCTTTCCCTTGAACTGCTCGCTGCCATGGGACATGTCTCTACATTCATGGAAAAGAAAGACAGAGAAAATAAAATGTTATCTTTTATTTTCTCAGGCACGTGAATGATTTGGGATACCAATTACCAAGACATTTTACTTACTCCCCTTTAGAATTACTTAGTTTAAATCTTTAGCCACCTTAGAAATAGTTTGTAGCAATCTCTTTACAGTTCAGAAGCAATGATTACAACTTAGTTATGGAATAAGGTAACAGTTTATGTTCAATACATTAGTTCATTTAAACTTCTGAGTCTTCAATAGCCTGTGGAATAGGAATTCCTCTCCCTTAATTTTGTGTTTTAGAGACAGGGTCTTGCCACATAGTCCAGGTTATAGCCCTGAACTCACCGTGTAACCTAAACTGTCCTTGAACCCACAGCTATCCTCCTGCCTCAGCCTCCCAAATGCTGGGATTACAGGAGTGTGCCACCATACTTGAACTTTTAAAAAATAACTTTTCAGCTTTATGCAGTGACCCTTCAAAAAATTATACCTTAAATACTTTATTACAACAGAAATCAGCAATATCCAATCTAAACACCTGACAGTGTAATACTGACCATCATTCTGAAATGAGTAGCTTCTGACTGAAACAAAACTCCAAGTCCATCAATTCAGCTCAAAAATGTTGTTCCTGAAGTCTGCAAAAACAAACAAAACAAAAACTCTCTTTTTCTCTGCAAATGTTGCTTGGCTGTGAATGGCATGGATTTACCACACATGTAAGGATGTACCTGTGCTGCATTAACATGTTCCTAAGCACTTTCTCAAGCTTTCAGAAAGCCCTACAACTAACAAATACTAATGAATGTTGTCACCCTCCCTGAGAAGTGCCCTTGTTGATACCAAACAGTGAGGCTGGACATGTGCATGCACCTCAAATTTAGCTCAGTTACAGTAAGGGCAGATAAAAGTAACTACTAATTTAACAGCTTTGAAAGGAGGAAAATGTCTTACAGTTATACACTTGACCTTCTCAAGAGAAGCTAGCTCAGAGAGGTTTGCAGTTGTTACAGAGTGCATGCAAGTGATACGACTAGTTCTGAGTAAATTCAGTGACTTCTGAACATAAACTCAAAAGGTACACTAATGACAGAGATTCGGTTATCTTATTTTCACAAAACAAAGAGTATAAATTTCAAGTTATTTTACAAATTAGATAATCAAATAAAAATCGACATGAAAGTATGTGTAATTTATGCAGCAAGATTTGGCAAACAGTAAACAACATATCATAAAAATGTGGAAAACTTAGGAAACGCCCTGGGAACACAAAATAGAATGTTAGGGCCAGGGTTTTGGCTTAGTGGTTCCGTGGCCTGCCTGGCAAGTGCAATGGCCTGAGTTCGATCCCCAGTACCTAAAAACATAAACAAAACAAAATAGAATATGTCTTTTACCTCATTTAGAAAATAAGTGGACTGTATGCTTCTTTAAGTGAGAATAAAGCAACTTTATTCTGCACTTAAGCAGCTTCAGGAATCAAAAACATTTCATTTCTATAAATATTCACAAATAGAGGCATTTTATAAATACATATGACTGGAGCTAAAATTTGGACAACTTAAAAAAAAAATCCCACAGAAATATGTTGCTGCCCCAAGAGCAGGATGCAGAGTTAAAATCCAAGCACATAAGGCATGGTAACACTGTGTACCATTTCTAGTGAGTGTAACAGCCAACAACCAAATTCTATAATGGACTACTGTTTATTTGGAGGCTGGTAATACTGATGAAAAAGAAAATTGTAGCTACAGATTAGTGTTTCAGAAATAGTCAATCCATACTATTTTAAGGAAAAATGGATGATTTATTATATAAAATTATGATTGGCAGAATACAGAAAAATCATTTCTTTTATCTTTTCATATTTACTATAAGTACCACACAAAGTGTAACATTTGGAAGAATGTCTTAGAGACTACCAAAAGGTATTCATTTGGTGAGGTTATTCAAGTCACAAATGCTGAGTAAATAAATGCACTTCAAAATACATGAAGTATAGAACAAGTATTAAAACAGTGATCTTAAATAATGATTCCATTAGCAAAAACTAATCAACAAATAAACAGAAGAAACATGTTGACAAGTCAGAAAAGAATAAATAAATGTACTATTCAATAGGATCATTAAACTAATTTTCAAAAACTGAATAATTAGGACTCCAAAAAACAGAATACAAATATTTCAACACTATATATAATTTTTTCCCTACCAATAACAGAAGGGAGGATTTGCAGGCCAATCATGTACTATATTCAGAATATTTGCACTGAAGGGTTCTACTGTTACTCCAAGGTGAAACAATTACAATTGCAGAGGGCAATATTAATCTCTAGCACAAGACTAGAATAATCAGCTTCCAAAGAATTCCTTTGTAGTCGAGTAAATCAGGGAAACAGTTTTACCCTTTAATGAAAGGGCAAATAAGAGGTCTCTGATAAGTTGGGATATTCATGGAAAAAAAGGAGATGCCTAACAGAAAATATGCACAATAACTATTGTCTCATTGGTAAAGACTAATCATTAATTGCGCACTTAAATTTTTAAAAATGAAGGTGATTAATAATGTATGTCATATGAATTATATGCCAAATTATTGTATTCTTCAGTCATAAGTGCTATTAATAAATACACTTAATTTCATGCTACTAGAGAAAAAATTGAGACATTTAACTTCACATTTCAGAATTCCTGAGTCTTATCAGAGAAAAACAAGTACCAAAAAACAAAACAAAATACATTTACCTATAGTAGGGCATATAATACAAATCTGGGCATTAAGTTAATTTTATTTATAGTTTTAAAGCTGAAGACTATAGGAACAAATATATAAGTACTTCAATGGAACTATAAACATGATTTTAAAGCTTGGTTTTTTTAAAAGGCGTTTTGATTAAACAAGGCCACCTGAGTGACAGCTTCAATGATGGCAGGCCCACCATTTAAAGGAATAATATCTTTATTTCAAAGCCTAATTATTAATACAAAAAGGAAAAAAGTTTATTTTAATAAAATGTTTTATTAAGATTGCAATGGGACAGCCCTTTGATGAAAGATAAAAGGAGGATAAAGCCAATATAATCAAATTAGAACACGAGTTCTAATTTTGAGCCACTATTCACTAAATAATTTCCCTTTTGCTTTGCATATTACACAGTGAAAATAAAAAGGTATTTATCTTAAGAGCACTTCAGTCCCACAATGTAGGATTTAAGCTTGTGTGAAAAGTAAATGGCCCTGCATTAATGCGATGCTTGCGAAGATACATTCAACTAAAAGTTAATGTCTGTTTCCTAGCAAATAAGGAAAAGGAAAGCAAAGTGGTCCCACTTGAAACAATAAAACAAAACAAAACAACACTGTTTATTTCTTCTGGAAAGGCTACCTAAAGCAAAGAACATACAATAACATACATTTAAAACTGCATACTTTTACTCATCTTTATAGGTAAGATGTACACAACTATTGATGAATTTTATAAAAACAGCAGAAAAAAATGTTTGGGTTATCTCTCATAATTATTCAAAAATAAAAGGATTAAAAAACACTAAAGTGCAGACCTATAGGCCATTAGAGGCATGATAAAGAGGTGCAGCCAAAATTGCATCTACATTTACATTTTACATATCCAGAAAATGATTCTTGCTTTAAAAAAATTGTGCAATTTAAAAACTAGTCAGTTTCGTTTGTGCCGTAATACAAATAGAAATTGTCTCTGCCACTAACGAAGTGACTTCTAGACTTTGGACAGCACAATAGGCTCCCGACAATCACACACTTCTCTAGAATCATACAATATTGATTCCACCTCCAGAAAATGCTAGGGTCCTCTTGTTGTAGAATGAAGAGCCGCTGGTATTTGGTTGACTGCCTTTAACCAGAGAGGTTTTTAGTTCCATTTCGCAAGCTACAATAGCTGCATTCAACTCCACTTGGGCTCGATGTACTACATAAAACATGAGGCCGATGCTTATAATAATCTGTGAATAAAAATAAGATATTGGTTATCAATATTATATTCAGAAAAATAAATTTTTAGCTTTGACATACTTCACACAGGATGATTCTTCAATACGAGAGGTAAAAGGTTTACATTTTAAATAGTTTATACACAATTATCATTTATTCTGTCTTTTGTTGCTTCTCCCAGGAGTGGAGAGCCAAAGTCTATAAATACTATACAGTATCATGTAAATGCACAGCAAATATACATTCCTTTAATCCATATGAATTGTGTTTGCTTTCCACAAGTCAAACTTTTCTATTTGTAACACAAAAGCTTCCTTCCAGGAACAAAAAATACCTATCTAACAGCTAGCTAAACGTTAACTAATGTAGTATGTACAGGTGAATTTTTAAATCCACTAATTAACTGCTCTCTAACATGTCAGTTCTAAAAGAAACAAGACATATTTACTGAAAACTTTAAGTGTGATAAAAACTTTAAGTGTGATACTTATCCATGGAAGCAACACCACGTAAAGAGATGAAGAAAATGTTCAGAGAATTAGGGAGATATATGAATGAAATCCTAATTTCAATTTAGGCACGCTGAATTTAAGGTGCCTTCCAGACACCCAGAAGAGTTCAACGCATGAGTCTAAAGCAATGGAAAGAAATCTGAGCTAATGACGTGTGTTGGAGGCTGGAGGACACAAACATTAGCATTCACCAGATTAACTGGATTTTCCAAGGAAACAAGTTTTCTGCATGAGACAAGGAAACATAGACTAGACTCTTCAGAAACATATATTTGGGATGTGAAAATAAAGAGGACAAACATAAGCCAGGCATGTGGGGGAAAAATACAAAATAGTGATATCAAAGAAATGAAGGGAAGACAGTTTTAAGGATGAAGGTGTGGTCAACAGTCTGGGGCTGCTAACAGGTCAAGCTGGATGAGAACTGGAAAGTACATCCAACTTAGACAAGGTTAATGATGACCTCAGGAATAGGTCATCTCTTACATCTGTTAGATGACTGTTTTTAAGTTTCTCTATTAAAATGAAATGAGCAAACACAGGGAGGACAAGCCTTCTACAGAAAGAAAGGCATCTCTTCCAGTATCAAAAGGAAAGCAGGCCAAGTATATGCACAGGAACAACAGTTTTCTAGATGGAAATTGAAGGGTTTCCCTTTTAAAAGTCTCCGATTTTTCTATTAAAGAAGAAAAAAGGTAATTTCTTAAGAAGGAAGTATAAGGAGGAATCACATTGTGAGGAGAGTGAAAATAACTTGAAACTATTTCAGACTATACTTTAACTATTTCAAAAAACTGAGTGAGAAGGCAGAGTGGGGATGTAGAGTAGTTTTGAGAAAGGAGGTGGTCTGCAACTATGAATTAAATATTACTCATCCATACTGTCTACAACTTTGCACCCAAAAGAACAGGTACAAGATCAAACTCAGATTTATCCAGAACTAGGGTTTTGGTTGATGGGAACAAAATATACAGGGCATGAAAAAGAGTGACTAAAAAGACACTGTGGAATCTAAGCTGGACATCAGTACAAGAACAGCCGTGGCTTCCTCTGATCAGCTATTTTGAATTCCTTCAATTTTATTGACACTATAGATTCACTTTAGGTTAACAGTTATAAAGCTGAGAGGCAAATTTGTGGTTTGTTTCTAGCAAACAGGGAGAACCTCATGAATATACTTACTAACTTTAACAGAAGTTTCATCTTTTTTCCCCATGCTAATTTTCTTCTTCAAGATGACTCCTCCCATTCTTCTGTATATATTTTATAAGCTGCCATTAAATCCTTACTGAAATAAATTAAGCTGTAACTAACATCAACAAATCAAACTGAAGCTTGATTGAATCTCAATTTTCCCCCAAGAAATGCCTGGTTTACGAAATACGTGTCTTTTCTCTCTTGACTTTTAAGTTTAAATTTGCCAACTCAAATGAAGAAGCCAGAAATCACTGCATAAAAGATGATCCTAAAGTTTAAAAAGCATTAAGAACTCTACTGATTAGAGTTGTGTAACTTACTAAGATGCACAGAAATATGAAATTTCAACAGTAAAAGTCCTCTGTGAGCTACTAATGAATTCTAATTACTCAACTATAATATCAAAAGAAAACAGATTTTGAATAGATAATTCATTTTCAGGAAATTTTAAAAAAGATAGACTTAAATTTATATTTTAAAAAATCTGAGAATGCAGTGTATGTCAGAATCTTATAGAATCCTGGGATTATCATAAACATTAAATTACTACATATATTATATTGTAGATACAACATATAAGAAATTTAACATCATGATTAATATGCTACATTATAACAAACCACATACAATTAAAACTTTATACTGAGATTCTGATTATCTAAAGAAAGTATATCTCTGAACAAGAATTAGTAAAGGAAAGTAAAAACTGATTCCTTGAATGGCAAAGATACTATGAAGTTTTACTTAAAGCAAGCCCTTTGCACATAGTCCAAACACAATATTGTGATGACTTTGAAGCTAATCATTGAAAAAAAAATCCTATTTTTATCACTCATTTTTCTTCCTTAAAAGAATTTTCAATAAGTATTAATTCAGTTCTAAAACTTTCCATAAATATCCTGAATTTTAAAAAATTGTCAAAATATGTAGTATTGAAAGAAAAATGAGAGACCTAAAAAGATTCTCATAAATTATGTTTAATGAAATCTGAGAGGTTATTAAATCAGCAAGGTAATACACAAAGAAAAAGAGAGGGAAAAAAGGAACTCTTGGCCTTAAACTTACCTGTAAACAAAAAACAAAATATCCACTAACACTCTGTTCCGCAATGACATCTTCCATTGTCCGCAGGGTGGTACCCAAGTAAGAATTCAGAAGCTGAGTAGGAAGCAGTCCAACCGAAGATGCCATCAGATAGTTGGGTAATGAGAGATCGGTAATCTAGAAAGTAGATTAAAGGGAATGGTTCATTACCAAATAACATAAAATGTGTATGTAAGTCTTGCTAGAGCTTTTTACTTAGGAGCAGAGAGGGCTGAAATACTTATAAGCATTGTGACCTTTTAAAATAATTATCAAGGAAATATGAGCAGAATGTAGATTTAGAATACAAAGAAAATTTTAATATTCTATTACTCTACTACTGAAAGGAAAAATCTACAACTATTTTTTCTTATATATAAAAAACACTCAGATTACTTTATAAAATGTTAAGTATTCTGCGTGTCATTAAATATTCATAATTACTCTTAAATAGCAGTATGGTTACAGGGATATGAAGGCAATCTCAAAATGGCATTTGCGTGCTGAGATCTTGAGCCATGGCAACCATAACCTTAAATGCAGAAATTCTGCATTGCTTATTTCTGTTTGTTTCCTTGTTATTAAAAAAGATAACATGCAAAACTTTTGCATAGTAACCTGAATGGAAGATGCATCTAAAATATTCCTAAATGAGTCGATTTCATGGTATTCATGCCCTATGGATCCTTCCCACTGGTGTGTGAGCTGGACCTGCTGCTTCTTGGCAAACAGATTACTGAACAAAAAGTGATGCTATGTCATTTCTAAGATTTGGTTACAACAAGAACAGGACTTCTATCTCTTCCTCAAGTAGGCCAGCTTCAAGCAGCTCCTCAGAGAGGCCCACATGGAAAGGAAATGATTCCTTCTGCCAACAGCTAGCTAAGACCTGACACCAGCTACAGCTGTACCAGTAAGCTGCAAGTGGGCAGTCAATCAAACTGCAAAAGTTACTGCAAAATAATGAGGGGGTCAGAGTTTGTTTGTTGTTTTCAGCTATCAAGTTTTTAATGATTTTACAAGCAATATATGACAAATATAACACCAATCTCCGTTATTTTATAATTACTTAGAGTAAAATTACTGGCTCAAATAGTAAAAATTTCATGCTCTTCTAAAATGTTTACACCAATTTATGAATTTGTCAAAAATGAGTGTGCTGTGCTCACTTTGGCAGCACACATACTAAAAAATGAGTGAGTCTATCATACTCTAATTTTATGTATTAAATTTCAATCATTTTTAGTTTTATATGGCTAAAATGTTTCATCATTATTTAATCTTTACTATTTTTATTTATTCCAACATTCGTTTCCTACATATTGCTTTCTATTCTTTATTTATGGCTTTGTTTGTTCATATATGTCCTTTTTGTAATGTTAAGTGTTTTTCTTATTCATAAAATCTCTGTATAAAGATAACCTATGATCTATATCATGTGTGGCCTGTTTCCCAAAAGTGTTCTTTATCATTTTTTGTTGCTGTTGAGAAAGGGTCTTGCTATTGTTGCACAGACTAGCCTCTAACTCCTGGGTTCAAGTAATCCTCCTGCCTTAAGTCTCCTCAGTTGCTGGGAGTACATATGCATACAGCTCATCTTTTATGTTTTGACTAGTAGCAATTTCTAAATGTCTACATAACCAAATATTATCAAATTTTCCTATGGTTTTCCACTGCTTTTAGCTTTAGAAAGTCTTAGATCTCATTGTTAGTGTTTATCTGTTTTTTATTGTTTTCTTTCATAGTATTTATCAATTATTCCTTCTGGAATTTAATCAGATTAAAACTTAGGATATGGCCCTCCTTATTCTCCACCTTTCCTAACAGCCTATTTTCTTAGCATTATGTATTAATCAAATAGATTATCTGTTGACTTGTGATATTTATTATAAATTAAGTTAATGCACATGAAGGGCCTCTAAGGGGTTCTATTACTGAACATCCACATTTCAAATCTGGTACTGAAACTCACATTGTGGTAGAGATGATCGGTTACTATCTGGTAAGGCATTTCCCACTCACTTCACATCCCTACTTTACTCTTTTTCTTAAAGTACCACAACCATTCTCACTACTTATTTTTACAGATCATTCAGCCATTCAAAAACAAAACAAATAGTAAATTTTGTTAGGATTAAGGTAAATTTATAAATTAAACTGGATAGAGCTAAAATATCCACCGTATTTTTATCTAGAAAAACAACAACAACAAT